TGCTTCGCCCAAATCAAGCTGTTTCGCATTCAGGGGTGGCTGCTTCGGCCTGCTGCTGGCCTGCCTGGCTGGCTGCTTCCAGCCATGCCTGTCCAGCTTCGCGTTCCCCGATTGGTTCGTGTGGGGAGTGATTTCTCTGGCTTGGACACAGGCATTTTCGCTTTGAAGCGGTTGCAGCTGCCGGTGGAAGTTTCATTTTGCAGCGACACAGACCCACACTGCAGAAAACTACTGGAAGCTGCTCACAAGCCAAAATGTTTTTTCGACGATGCCGAACAACGAAAGCCAGAGGATGAGATCCCTGTGGACGTATACATTAGTACCCCGCCATGCCAGCCATGGAGTTCACAGGGAAAAAGGAAAGGTCTCCAAGATCCCCGGGGGAGGTTGCTGAAAGTGCCTTTGAGGTATACAAAGCGGCACAAACCAAGGGTCTTTCTGATGGAGAATGTGAAGGGTCTCTGCCACCGGAAAAACAAACCGGTACTCCGCGGCATCCGAGCCACGTTAGAGAAGCTGGACTACAGGGTCTGGCTTGGAGTCTTAAACGCTGTGGATTTCCAAATCCCGCAAAAGAGACAAAGGCTCTTCATTGTCGCGATCCGCAAAGACTCCTGCAGGAGACCTTTCAAGTGGCCCAAAAAACTCGGTAAGCGAAGGCTGTCAGAGGCCTTGGACCCGATGCAGGCTGCAGATCGGCCTGGTCGGTTGCCGAAAAATCAAAGAGCCAAGGCTTTGGCTTTGGCTGCCTGCCGAAAAGTTAACAAGGAGGGCATTGACCCACGACAGGTTCCTGTTGCCATAGACGTCGGCTGCAGCCAAAAATATGCCACCTTTGGCATTGATGTCAGCCGCACCTTGAGCCAAGCTCGCGCCAAGACAGGCGGCTTCTGGATCAGTAGTCGTGGAAGGTATATGACTACAAATGAGATGTTGAAGGTGTCTGGGTTCCAGTCTTCTGAGATGCCAGATTGGAACCAACATGTAAGCAAGACTCAGTTGCAAGGAATGCTCGGCAATTGCGTGCCGATTCCTTTGGTTGGCTGTGTGCTCCAAAATGCCTTGTACGCAGCTGGCTTGATTTCCAAGCTGGCACCTTTTCCAGTCTGACCTTGGCTGCTGCGGCCAATCTGAAGCTTTTGTCGCGGCTTGTGTGGCCGATTTGTAATTAACCTACAATCAGACAGCCTTGACGCGGGATTTGTCAAGTCAAAAGATCGCAGCTAGCTGTTTCTATGTGTTTCGTAGTCACTCTCTCGCTTCAAGACTGCTGGCATGTGCCATTCAAGTTCCAACCTGTCTCAACTTGTCATTTGACAATGGTCTCAAGTTTTGGCTCAAACCGTGTTGTCGTCGCCTCTCTTCCTTTTTCCGTGATGCCTCTGCTGCGCTCAGAAGCGGAGACTGACGAGGCAAACTTCTGTCAGTATGTCTATGTGACACAGCTTTTTGTCAAAGAGAAGCCAGCAGATTTCTTCGGTCTCGCAGAGATGGAAGACGTGTACGAATGCACTCGCAATGCCATTTTTTGGTGCTACTGCCACCTGGCCCCAGACATCAGATCTGAATTTGAATGGCAGATTGTGATTGCACTGGACATGCTGACGACTTTGCGTTACACAGATCCCGACAGCTTCCCAGACAGCCGAATTGTCGCTGGTTTGCCAGATGCGGTGGAAGAAACCAAGTTGCCCCTGACCCATGCAACCAAGCGCGACTTCTATGTGGCCACGCTCTTCATCAGCTATCTCGACGCTTGCCCGCTGAATTATTGTGGCTTCAGATGGTCTACGTTTCGTGAGAACCTGTGGGAGTCCTTCAACAAGGCAGTCCAGAGATCAGAAGTAAACAATGAATTGAAGATTGGACACTTCTCAGGAGCCACCTGGGTATTTCAACTCACCCAAGCTGATGCGGCCGAGGCTTAGTTAAGGGCGTCGTCAGGCTGCTTCGGCCTGCTCGTCGCCTGCTTCGGGCTGCTTGTCGCCAGGCTGCTTCGGCCTGCCTTAAACTATTTTTTGTAGTGGCTGCTTCTGCCACAGAAGCTTGGCTGCTTCGGCCAGCAAGGCTTTCGACAAGACAGACGGTCTCTTGGAAAATAGTGGCTGCTGACCGTGGCCTTCTTGGGACCAGGTTATGAAACCCCAAAGAGTATTAAATCCTAAAGGGGTAATATTATAATTATTGTATGTAACATGATTTAAATTTAATACTAGCTATTCAAATGGGTATATTTTTTTTGGTCATATAAGGGATTTTGACATAATAAGGAATTTAAATAACTCTTAAGGAGACTCGGGCCCTCATTCGGGGACATCCCCTAACCTCCTAAGACTCTAATTCGGGGACGTCCCCTAACCTCCTAAGGGGTAATTCGGGGACATCCCCTAACCTCCTAAGACTCTAATTCGGGGACGTCCCCGAACCTCCTAAGGGGTAATTCGAATGGGGACATCCCCTAACCTCCTAAGACTCTAATTCGGGGACGTCCCCTAACCTCCTAAGGGTTAATTATCAAAAACCCTATCCTAAGGAGAGGGCGATTTGCCCTCTCCAACCGCAGGTCGGGGACGTCCCCTAGCTGTGTAAGGAGAGGACGAATAGAGGACGAATGTGTAATACTACTAAGTGTTTCGGTTTTAAAAGCTGTTGTCCTCTGTTTGTCCTCTCCAACCGAGCATCGGGGACGTCCCCTAGCTGTGTAAGGAGAGGACGAAATGACCTCTCCTTACACAGCATGTTTTACCAAAATCCTGCTGTGTAAGGAGAGGTCGTCGTCTTCACAGGTCGTCATGTTGAGCTTGGCTGTTTCGGCCACCCTGGCTGCTTCGGCCACTTCGCCTTCGTCGTCAGTGAGGTGTGTAAGAGAAGGCTGTGAGAGGACTAATAAGACATAAATATAAATTCCACATTAGTCCTCTCACAGCCCTGTCTCCTTACACACGTCGCTGCTGTCAGCGCGGGTTCTAAGGGCCCTCTCCTTAGAAGCCGTCATGTCGTCTCTCGTCGTTTGTTTTCGGCTCAGAGGCTTAGCGTGTAAGTTTGAAAGGTAATAAGCTGTTTCGGCTTAAACCTTGCCTGCACTCACAGGCTGTTTCGGCCTGGAGTGCTGACATGCCAAGCCCCATGGACTCAGGGTGGGCGCCCATGTTGTGTATCGACTGTGGTGGCGTCTTAACCCGTTATGGAGATGTCAAGTACGACGGCGAGGAAATCTACAAGGCGACGATGCCAGGAGCATGGGCTTTCCTGCTTTTGTGGCAGGCTTGCTATGGCGAAGATGCTGTGAGAATCATTTCGAAGGTGAAATGGTTCCCACACAAAGAGAAGCATTGGGTGGTGAGACACGCGATGTCTCTTGGGTTGTCCTCGGACCAGGTCTTCTTGACGGATCAGAACAGCAACAAAGGATACTACGCGCGCCGCTCCAATGGCACCGTGGTCGTCGACGACAGGCTGGATTGCTTGCAGAGCATGATGAACGGAAGCTCAAAAAGCCTGCAGACAGCTGTCCTGTTCGGGGGCGCCGATCCACGAAACGAGAAAAAGGTGCACTGCATCAGCGACTTCAGAGACCTTGCCGTCTTGCTGGAGGTCTACCCGAATGGTACGGTTTGGGACTGGCTCATGGACGAAGGCCCTCCAAACAAACCTCATGACGAAGCAGTGCGAGACGACCTCCTGCAACGCTTGAAGGCCATGGACGACGCCCGAGCCTGGCTACCAACTTCAACGGCAAACAAAAGAAAGGTTGAGGCTGCATCGGCCTTGTCGTCGAGCAACTGGGTCCCAAAAGGTTCTGCAGCGCCCGCCGGCGACAATGACGACGATGACGAGCGTCCGCCGCCTCCAGACAACGTCGTCTTTTTGTACCGCAAGTCTGCTGCAAAAAAACCAGTCAAGAAGGAATCGCCGCCGCCGTCGACGAGACCGCCAAAGCAATCCACAATCAAAGAAGAGCCGGACTACGGCGGCGACCAGGCCGACGACGACAACGACGACAATGACAATGAACAGGAAAGCAGTTCAGAGGAGGACCAGGAGGAGGACACAGAAAGCGAGGCCAAAAAACTTCGACGAAGTTCCTCCAAAAAATCCGGCAGCAGGCGGCGAAGCACTTCCACTGATGCCAAGATCAAAGACTTGCAAAATCAGGTGAAGCAGCTGCAGTGGCAGCAACAGGCTGGGTGGTACTACCCGTACTACCAGGCCGCGGCGGCTGCTTCGGCCGCGCAAGGCAGCCAGCCGGCGGCACCGGCTGCATCGGCCGGGCCGCCGCCTTGGGGGGGCCGACGTCCGGATTCGAGCTGGACGCAGGCAAAGATGAAGCGTGCCGAGCAGCACCGTGCTACTGGAGGGCAGACGGCACAGCGGATGACCCCGGCAATAGCATGTTGCCGATGTGGGAAGAATCAGCCGGGCGCATATTGCCCTGCCAGGTGCTGCAGGAGGTGCTGCACGCAGTCGAGTTGCCCACAGCACCATGGCTGAATCGGCCATGTGCTGACTGGCCTTCACTGGCTGCTTCGGCCAGGGTGAATCTTCACTGGCTGTTTCGGCCAGACGGTAGCACCACTGGCTGTTTCGGCCAGACGGCAGCATGGCTAAGACGGCCGTGCGACACTGGCTGCTTCGGCCAGGTCAATGACGACGGAACGCGACAGTGGAAAGGGGAAAAAAGCAAGCAGGGACATCAGGTGTCTTGGTCCAATCCGGGGAGTTAAATTATTAAAAATAAATATAATGATATGAAATGGGGAAGTAGACGACTAAAGACGTAGGAAGTTTTAAACGCTAATTTAAAGTCTCAAGTTTAAAACTTAAAACAGCAAGTAAAAGGGACCGTCTAAGAGTATTGAATCAAGTCAAACAGTTTGGGTATTGACAGACAATTAAAATCCGCAGCTGTTTCGTAGCTCATTCCCTGTAAATTTAAGTCTGGGGCGGGGTGCCTGGCTGATTCGGCCAGTGCCTATTAGCTGCTCAAGTTTGTCAGAAACATGCCGCCAAAAAAGAAACAAAAGACGACAAAGGCTTTGCCTGCACCTTGCGAAGACGAAGATCAAAGCGAGCCAGACCTTGGTCCCTCCAAGGCTCATTGGATTAAGGTGCATGATGCTTTGGCCCGAATTTTCTCACACGAATTATTCAAAGACATATTGACAGCAGACCCTTTGTCTGTCAAAGATGGCGGCAGAGAGGCAGCACTCGACGCTACTCAGGCTGCTTCGGCCTTGAAAAACGCTGGCGTCTATAAGTGTGCCGCCAATTTTTTCCATCAAGACTTCCTTTTCATGGCCACGCACAAAGTGCCTACGAACGAAGCGCAGGTGCAGCAAATCAAAGACTATTGGTTTCCCAAAAATGAACCGCCGTCATTGTGCCCCTTTGTCATCACAGTCGCTTTGGAAACCCCTGGCTGCATCGGCCAACGTCCACAAAACGGTTTCCAACGTCTCAGTCCTCCAGAGCCGGTACACGCCTTGCTGTTTGCACTGGCTGAAGCCATTGAAAGCAAAGCAAAAGTTGGAGTATTGCGCGCTTTCAGAAGTTGCATCCTCACTGCGACCTTTGTGTTCGAAATCTGTCCTGTTGGTGAAGACCGCTACTGGCGTGCACAAAACATTCGTGAAGAGATGGTTGAAAAGGGTTTGTCGGTTCAGTTGTCATTGCGCCAGCGTATATTTGATATTGCAGGCTTCTACGAAGCCAAAAAAAAAAACTGAGTCAAGCCTCGGTGCCAAAAAGCTGGCAGCTCTGTACACACAGCATCTCAAACTTGCGTCGAATCAAGAGAAAATTTCGGAAAGCTTTGTCGATTGTGCTTTGTCCATCCATCGCCGACTTCTCAGCATCCCCAGGTGTCAAGCAGTTTTGGAATGGTGTGACCAAAACTGGCTCACTTCGTCTGCTTGGAAATCAATTTACGCCTTGCAAGCATTGCTTGACAGAGGAGGCACGCCTGAGATGATTGCCTGGTCCCTGGAAGGGATGGTGGATGGCGTCCGCATGTCTTTTCTAGATGGTGGACACTTTGTTATTAGCAAGCTGAAAGATTCAAGGGCCAGCTACATTGAAGTCCTCAAAATGAAGCGCAAAACTTTGTTGCATTTACTGAACACATGGCTGAATGACTTGAAGCTGGAGAAAAAATGGAAAGACAACATCAAGAGCTACTGCGGCTCCTATGAGATGTTGCGAAAGCATATTTCGCCATACCCTGATACGCAGGCTGATACGGCCTGGTTGCTGGGTTGCCCGCCAAGTGTTTCTGAAATTTGCGAGTTCCTGGATCAACTTGTCTTTGGATCCCACTATGACGCAAGATACAAGGATGCAATCAAGAGCAAACACGAGGTGGAAGATTTCTTGAATTACACAACTCTAAAGACCACCATGGAAACCATTGAAAAAATGACTCGCCAAGAGGACAAGCCCGAGGGACTCAATGGCGATGAAGAGCAAAAAGCAAGAACGGAAGAGGAAAGACAGGAAACAGAACTGGAGGCTGCTTCGGCCTCTGAGGCTGCTGCGGCCTCTGAAGCTGCTCCGGCTTCTGAAGAAGTGGAAGACAATGGTCTTAGTGAGGCAGACAAGGTCATGTGGAGACAGCACATGCGCAAGATCCTCAACCAGCATGTGCGATTTGTCGCCGATCACCGCACCAATGTGGAATTGGAAAGTGTCTTGAAAGAAACACCTTTCATGTCCTTGCGCGGAGATCAAACAGGAATGGCCCTCTTCCACTTTGATTTGAAAAAATATGGCGAGCCCACCACACGGCCAGACTTGAGAACCCCAACCTTTCGTGAAAACCTCTACACCCGGCTTGTCAAGAGCGTTCTTGCTGCGCGGCAAGACGCAATGGGCACTCCCAACCCCAACCTTCAGGCAGGGGAAGTTGCATTGATTTTCGATGCAGGAAAACTAGACGACGGATGGCCCGAGAGCGTAGACGAGCAAAGTCTTCTGTTGCTAGTATGGAGACACTAAATTACAAGACAATATATTGAAGATGTATTATAGGCAGACGAGAAGAGTAGTTTCAAAACAATATATTACAAGTACAATACAATAGTTTGCATCGTATCTTTCGTAAAGTTGCAGACAGACGCTTTTACACACAGAACTGTTTACAGACAGACGCTTTTATTATACACAGAGAGGCTTTTACACACGGACGCTTTTACACACAGAGCTTTTACACACAGACGCTTTTACACACAGACGCAAATACACACAGAGACTTTTACACACAAACACGTTTACACACAGACGCTTTTACACACAGACACTTTTACACACCAACACTTTTACACACAAATATTTTTACACACAGACGCTTTTACACACACATTTTGTCATCCAAAAGGTTGTCCCTGCCAAGCCGTGACAGAAAGCACTACGCAGGTTCAACCACTGGCGACTTGATTTCCAACGTGCACATGCCTGCTTGGTCTTCTGAGTGGCAGCTGCCTTGGAAAGAAAAAAAGGAGCTTTTGGGGAAAAAACACATGATAGCTGTCGGAGGTAAGACACAAAACAAGGAGGAAGAGAAGCAGAACAGCAGATCCAGCAATGGCTTGGAGCCAGTTTGCTTTCACAGTCCACCCTATGAGCTCTGCGACGAGTTGATCCACGACTTTTTCGCGAAGATCATTATCGATCTGACACCTCTGGACGGCCGCATGGCTTGGGCTGCCTTGCGAAATCGGGTAGGGTATGTCGGAGTTGCCTTCAACCCGGAGCACCAACGCCTTCTTGAAGACCGGCTGCTTGCTTTGCTTGAAAAGGAAATGACAAACCCTGAGTCCAGCTTGTTTTCGTCAGCTTACAGTGAAGCCGTCGGCGGTGGCAGTGGTAAGGCACCTGTGAATCAGACCGCAAAACCGAAGGCAAAGGTAAAGGCAAAGGCCAAAGGCAAGGGAAAGGCCAAACCAAAGGCTAAAGCAAAATCCAAAGCCAAGCAATCAAAGGATGAGCAGGAGGAAGGCGAAGAGGAAAAGGACGACAATGACGAGGAAGACGACGACGTCTGGGATCCTTTGGGAGACGACGACGATGACAATGAAGAGGACTAATGGAGACAAGTGATGGGGCTGCCTCGGCCATAGACGAGACGACGTGGCTGCATCGGCCATATACCACGGCTGCATCGGCCGTGTGGCTGCCTCGGCCATAGGTGACCTCTATGTCGCACTTCGGACACATAGGCAGTTTTGATTGTGCCTTCCATGCGGGAAAAAAAAGCTGCTTTGAATTTCCCACAAACATGACATGGTTGAAAGGTAAAAAGTATGTATGTCGACTCTCTTAACTTAGGGGGATGTCATGTCCTGTTGTCAGTTGGTTTGTCTCATGTTTGCTGTACGTGTTCTGAAACATGCGGTTTCTCGCACATTTAGGCTCTAGGCTTAAACTACAAATGACCGTTTCCATGCCAATGACAATGATGCCGCCGCCCAAACTTCCACGACGACGTGGCAATCCCAGTGTAGTCACTAAGCCTGATGCCAAAGTCATCCAAAGGGATCTTCTCAAAAGGTTCCATGTAGAAAAGCTGTACCAGAAGTACAGGCTGCTTCAAACCAGCACATGGCCATCGGCAAGCAAGCTTGCTTCCACTATCCGGATCGAAATTGTGAGAAGAAAAGGGGTTAAGTGGATGAATGAAAAAGAAAAACAATGCGATGAGAAGTAGCATGTTGGCTGCATCGGCCAAGCTATGGCTGCTTCGGCCAAGCTATGGCTGCTTCAGCACATGGCTGCTTCGGCCTATTCGAGTCTAATTCAAATGATTTCAAAATCTATGGGAACCAATCTTTAATTCACCTGTTTGTGGCTTGCACAAACCAAACTTGCTGTAGATATTTGGATTCCTCGTTTGTCCAAGAGGAAAAATGCGTGGACCGATGATTGAAGCTATTTTCTTGTCGTTGGAAGACATGACATTGTCACTGAAAGCACACACATGCATTAAAATTTGAGCGCACACAATCCGATATTTCACCCATGGAGACATTAGCAATCCTTTTGGTTACTGTTATATGCTTCCTTCTCCTTCATTCCTTTTACAAACACTTTTTTAAAAGAAGCTGCCTACTCCACTTTTTTATTTTTATTTCTCGTTTCAGTAACTGTCTCGTGTAAGTAACTTTCTCGTGTAAGGGCAAATTTTTTTTGTAATACCGTAATGCCGCTAAGTGGAAGTAAGACAAACCATACCTGTCTTGGACTCGCGTTAATGCAATGTAAGCTGTCAATGGGTCGCCTGCTTCCCCAATGTGCATGTCCATGACAACGCCTTCTTTGCACGTTTGCCCTTGGGCTGCGTGGGCGGTTGCGGCAAACCCTGGAGCCAATGGAAACTGCTTCCGCGTGACACGGAGTACTGGCCGCTTCCGCCCCTTGTCCAGATACCACGGTTTCTTTTGCGGCGCTACGGGAAAAACGTTGTCTTCATCAATCCCTTCGACACGCCAGGTGGTCTTGGTCTTGAACCGGACCAAGATGCACGCCGGCAACTCGTTCCAAATCTGCGTCGCCTCTTGACTCGCCCCTCCGACGGCATCCGCATGCCAGACCCAGCCAACGATTTCCCAGCACACCCACGTAAAATTCCACGGGTACGATCCAAGTGATCTGCGGCAGCAACTGGCATACCAATGCACAGCGGGAAAACACCATACAAGGATCCACAGTCCTGATCGTGGCGCTGCAGCCATGTCAATTTTTCTTTGCCCAGATCTGGCTTTTCGCGCAAAGCCGCGCTTGATATCCTGTCTTTTGCAATGGCATGGTGCAGCACCTGCCCTGTTTCTGCGGCCCAGGCCCAAACTTTGGCTCGCAGTTTATTCACGTGATACTTCACGGCATTTGTGGCGAAAATAGCCTTTGCCCCAGCGAACTTCGCAGCGGCCGCGAGGGAACCGTCTGTAACTCTAGCCTTGGACTGGCGCTCCTTTTTGCATATGTCACATTCCAAACTAAGGATTGCTTCTGGCGCTGCTTTTTGTCTCAGTAACTCCTGGCACGTGGTGTGGTTGCACTCTAGTCTGTGCCCGTTCCAGCTCCCAGGTACCGGCGTAGGACAGCCATGCAAAAATGCGTGGTTCGTATCGGACAACGCGCCGTTTCGTACTTCGTTTTGTAGACTCTGCAACCATATATCTTGGGTACGCTCGCACTCGACCAGTTCTGTCACGCCATGGATTCCGTCCGGGGTTTCGCCCCAGACTAATTCCTGCCCCCGGATGGTATGGGCTACTTTCTTCGTTTTGCATTGCGTCAACCATTCCCATGGGACATCTCCCAAAAAGGTTCCACGTGGCGGTGGCAGCTGCCACATATCACCTGCCAGAATAACGTTTAACCCTGCAAAGGGACGAGCATATGCCGCATCCTTTGCATACTTGCCTTCGGCGAGATCCCGGACCAACTCTCGGCAACGCAACTCTAACCGGGCCAACAGCTCAGCGCTAACCATGCTGATTTCATCAATGATGAGCCATCGCCAGCGCAACGCTTTGGCGCTCAGCTCCAGGAGCTTGTGCCCGCTAATGCGCTCATCGCCAAGGCCTTGCCAGTTCAAACCAAACGCGTGGTGGATAGTGTCGCCCTTCAAGTCATGGGCCATAACAGCCTGCAGTGTCACGACTTGGAATTCATCACCTTGCTTCCAGCCCAAAATATCCTCAAACAATTCTTTCCGGAGACGATTCAATACATACGATTTCCCTGTACCGGGTCCGCCATGCACAGCCCACCGCAATGGCTCTAGCACCCCAAGGTTTTCAGACAAGATCTCCTGCACGACTTGGCTTGCAACTTTTCTACAAACTTCTGCTTGTTTGGCATTGCATCCATCTTGCGCGACGCCCCCGGCCCATTCTTCCACATGGTTTTTAAGTGCTGTTATATTGACAATTTCTTGCTGCACCTCGGGCTCCCGCACGCAACTGTCTTTCTCACAGCTGACCGTGCGCGCCTTGCATCGCACACTTTTTAGGAGGCTCTTGCTGTCCAAGCCTTGGCATGGGTTTGGTAACGGACAGGATTCACACGGAAGCGTGTTCCAATGCTTCTGCGCCCGTTCTATGGCATCAACGATGAGGCTGCGGTGCACTGACCACTTGCCTTTCGGCCCTACACATTCTGTTGGTCGGGGTTCAAGAGTGCCGTTTGCCAGCCTCAACCCCCCAAACGTTTTTTCGCACCGTTTAACTTTCGCAGCGGCCCTACAGACTGTCTTGTCGAGGCTTTCAGGGGCTGTTTGCCGGCCTTCAATCGGCTCAACCCTCCGCAGCGGCCCTACACAGCACTGTCTTGTTCAAACGGCTCAACCCTCCGCAGTGACGCTACACACTGTCTTGTTGAAGGCTCAAGACTTCAAACCCCTAAACGCTCTGCAGCCGCCCTACACACTGTCTTGTTGACGCTTCAAGGCTACCATTTGCGAGCCTCCCAACTCCCAACCCCTTACACACTGTCTTGTTGGGGCTGCAAGAGTGCCAGCCTTCAAACCCCTAAACGCTCCGCAGCAGCCCTACACAGTGTTTTGCTGAAGCTTCTACTCAAAACTCCCGTTGCCAGCCTTCAAACGCGTCAACCCTCCGCAGCGGCCTTACACACTCTATTGTTGGGGCGTTACGCCGTTTGCCGGCCTTCAGACGCGTACTGTTCGCAGCGGCACTACACATTCTGCCGTTGGCGGTTCACGAGTGCCGTTTGCCAGCCTTCAGACCTTTATTCAAACCGTTAAACTTATGAAAAACTTGCAGCCACAGACTGGGCCAGGTCAAAATATTTTTTTTTTCATTTTTTTATCGTTTTGGTTATCATTTTATTTATCATTTTTTTTTTCATTTATGTTTTCATTCATTTTTTTTAAATCATTTTATTTTTCATTTTTTTATCATTTTTTTAATCATTTTTTTATCATTTTATTTTTCATTTTTTATCATTTTTTTTATCATTTTTTCTTCCAGTGGTGCAAAAAAAAATCCAAAAAATGGAAAATTGCAATTTTCCTCGAGTTTTTTTCATTTTTTTTATATTTTTTTATCATTTTTGCTTCCGGTGGTGGAATTGATGAAAAATGATAAAAAATGATGAAAAATGATAAAAAATGATAAAAAATGATAAAAAAATGATAAAAAAATGATAAAAAAATGATAAAAAATGAAAAAAACTCGAGGAAAATTGCATTTTTTTATTTTTCGGAAAATTTTTGCACCACTGGAAGCAAAAATGATGAAAAATGATAAAAAAATGAAAAAAATGAAAAAAAATGAAAAAAATGAAAAAAACATGAAAAAACGAGGAAAATTGCAATTTTTCATTTTTTGGAAAATTGCAATTTTCCTCGAGTTTTTTTTTCATTTTTTTTTCATTTTTTTGTCATTTTTCATCATTTTTCATCATTTTTCATCAATTCCACCACTGGAAGCAAAAATGATAAAAAAAATGATAAAAAAATGTTCAAAAAATGAAAAAAACTCGAGGAAAATTGCAATTTGTTATTTTTCGGAAAATTTTTGCACCACTGGAAGCAAAAATGATGAAAAATGAAAAAAAATAAAAAAATGATAAAAAAATGAAAAAAAAATGAAAAAAATGAAAAAAAATGAAAAAAATGAAAAAAACATGAAAAAACGAGGAAAATTGCAATTTTTCATTTTTTGGAAAATTGCAATTTTCCTCGAGTTTTTTTTTCATTTTTTTTTCATTTTTTTGTCATTTTTCATCATTTTTCATCATTTTTCATCAATTCCACCACTGGAAGCAAAAATGATAAAAAAAATGATAAAAAAATGTTCAAAAAATGAAAAAAACTCGAGGAAAATTGCAATTTGTTATTTTTCGGAAAATTTTTGCACCACTGGAAGCAAAAATGATGAAAAATGAAAAAAAAT